GTTGCAACAGCGTCTGCAACAACCTCTGGTGGAATTGTTGATGATATAGATTTCGAGGATGAAACTGAAGATGACAGTGACGATGATGACGTAAGCCTTGGGAAGATTCAGGAGGCTTATAAGAAGATGTACAGCAAATGGCTTGTTGTTTGCAAACAAAACAAATCGCTTGAAGATAAAGTTGGTGTCTTAACAAAGGAAAGAGATGAGTTGAAGAAGGCTGCAATAAATTATGAAATCTTGGCAACAAAGCATCAAGGAAAGCTTGCTGAGACCAGACTCGAATTGGAGCAGACCCAGAAGAATTTAAGGATGCTAAACTCGGGCACATCAAAATTGGATCACTTACTCTCACAACAAAAAAACTTGTGGTGATCATTCAGGCCTTGGCTACAAGGGTCAAGAAATTTCTGGGAAGACTGTCTTTATGAAAGGAGCCACCAGTACTATGATGCAGTCTTTTAAGAAATCTCGGGTAAGCTTAGACAATAAGTTTGTTGTAACACGACAAGCAACAAACAGGTTCGTTTTTATCTGTCACTATTGTAATTTGCCTGGCCACATTAGACCTAGATGTTACAAATACTTGAATGCTTTAAAAAGAGGTATGATTATTAATCCATCAAATTTCGCATTCACAAGAAGGACACCTAAAGCAAAGATTGATGTGCAGAATAAATTTCCTAGACGTGTGTGGGTAAGGAAATCTGATTTAAGGTGTCTTGGGGCTTATACTTCTTTTAGAGTATGTACTAATAAATCTGAGTATTGTGGTAATGGTCACTTCAAGTTTTTGATAGGTGATAAAAGTAATATGCATCGGAGAATACCATATTCAGGGGGAGTATGACTTGTGGAGGATTCAGGGGGAGCGATTTGCAGGAAGGTGTTGCTCATTTTCTAGAATGTTTGGCTTATTTTTGTCAAAAAGGGAGAGTAAGTAGTCTGGAAACTTGATTGGTGCAAAAAGTATTGTGTTTTAGTTGCTATTATTAGTTTTGCCAAAACAATGCTAAAGGGGGAGATTGTTGGGATTTGTTTCACAATTTGTGTATTGATTGTAATCGGATTTGATTGGCATTATTTTGGGAATGTTTTGCTGTGATGATTGGGTTTGGAAATGTCTTTGCAGCTGGCAAGTTTCCTTTGGCAGGTTTCAAAAAATCCAGAAACTTGTTTTAGTTTCTATTTTTCTAAGTCAACTATTGATTCAAAGATGGAAAATTGATTTGATTGATTCTTGATTGAGATTTCATAGCTGGATGATCTTCCTCTGCCTCCTAAGAACGTGTCCAGGTTCATATATCAGTTTTGGGAAGATTTCAGAATTAAAAGAATATTGATTCGTCTGGTTTTGAAAAAGTTGGCCGTAACAGCTATGTTGTAGTGTTGTTGCAACATGATCTGCAACATATGTGGTTCAGCGAATTAATGGAAGATGTGTCAAGCTATTCACAGCTTGCTTATTTATTGAAAGTGTTCCTTAAGTCTTTGTACGCCTCTTGATGAGTTTTTACTGGGTTGTGAGACAGGGGTGAGCACTTGTATTGAGAGAGATGATTTTAGTGTTTTTCGGGAGAAAAACTTAGTTGGAGGGATTCCAATGTTAAAAAGTCGAGGGGATTCCGCTGTTCAAGTCCATTGGGAAATTGCAAGTTCATAGGCGTCTTCTTAGAGAGGGAGTCTCGGGTAGATTAAGTCCGATTGAATTGTAAAAGAGTTCTTAGTGGATTGTTCATCATTTGGGCGTGGTCCCGCGGAGTAGGGTGTTACCGAACCGCGATATCATTTCTCTCGTGTTCTTTTATTTTATGTTTCTGAATTATTCATATTGTCTTATAAATTGTTAAAAGACTAAAATCGGTACTAACAGCCCCAATAATATCTAAATAATAAATAAAAATAAAAATAAAAACATGAATTAGTTGCAGGCACAACGCTTGTTGCGAGAAAAGTTCTATGCTAATGTGTGTTTCCTAGAATTAGTTTGATCTTTCTTATTGAGTGATATATAAAAGACAAAGTTTTCTTATAATATTTTCCTCATTTATATTGTTGTTATTTTTAATACTCATATAAGTGGAAAGAACTATATCACAGGTAAAATTCTTTTTTTTTTTTTTTTAATTATCAGTAACAGGTGAAAGTCCTTGTTGGCTCATGCATGTGTTGGATAGGTGCACGGCTTGTTTAGTTTAAGGGGTTTGAACCCCGATTTAAAATGTTCAGCAACAATGTTTTTTTTTTATAAAATTTGAATTATGGTTTAAATTATCTTATTCGAATCGTGAAGCAAACGTGCCCGTAAAGACCACACATGAATTTAGTATTTCCAATATTACTCAACAAGTCTCTCAAACGACAATCTAGAAACAAACGACACTAATATAACGGTTAAAATTACATCAACTGGTGGGTAAAAACAAAACAAAATAAATATGGGCAAAAACTTGGAGAACATGAAAACTATATGAGGCCTATAGCTTTGACAAGAGGATAAAATATAGAAGCTGTTACCTCCATTACCTGCCCTTTCCAGGTAACTAGTAAATATCAATATTTTGACTAAAGTATGACCTTTGATGTTATTCAAAATATTAAATATGAAAAACGTCTTGTAGGAGTGGGTAGAAGTTGCCAATTTAAGTCTCTACCATAAATTATACATTAGCATGGACGACGGATTACTGTGATTATTTTATTTAATAATCTTGTATTATTTATTTAGGATTTGAAAACATGTTTTATTGCTCAGTTTTATCGGTATTTTATGAGTTGTAGTTCATTGTTCATTAATAAGAGTTTTTGAGAATTCACTTAGCTATTTTGCATCAACTTAATTCATCTTAACTCTTCGGCTATATATAATTAATACTCAATAAGAAATTTTAAACTAAAAAACTGAGAAAGTCCTCAAGATAAAACGTAACTGCATCTGAAAAAGATGGGAGAATATAGTAAATAGCATATTTTTAAAACTAAATTAAGTATATAGTATATTAAAAATCTTAGTTTAAAGATGGGAGAATATAGTAAATAGCATATTTTAGTTTTAAAATCTTCTATTTACTATAATTTCTTGAGAAAAGAAATGAAATTTCCCTTACTCTGCACCTGTTATCATAGGGCACGATTGGTACCATTTTCAAAATGGTTTTCTTTTCAGTATAAAATTGAATATGAAATTATTTTGAGAATAATACTGATTCTGAAATTGCATTTGGTTGGTTTTTTAAAAGATTATTTTGCCTATAATAGAAAGATGAAATCATATTTGGTCGTGTTTATGAAATTTTATTTTGAGTACGTGTAATTAACACTCTTAAATTAATACATTAAGTAATTAATAATGGAAAATTACGTAACAAATATAAATTAATATACAAGTCATATAATAATAAATACATTATTACTTATTATTAATAATTAAATTAGAGATATAATAAACTAATATGCTAAACAATTAAAAATAGTAATTAATAATCAGTATATAAGCAATTACTATGTTAGTAATGTACTTATAATTACTAGTTTTAATCAGTGTATTATTAAAAAATAGTTAGGATATTAATAATTTACTAATTAAATAATTAATTACTTGCTAATAATTATTTAATACCTTATTTTTGTACATCAATTTTTGGTAATTGATCTTTAAATAATAATTAGTTACTAATTGTCAGTTATTAATTACTATTCATTAGTATGTTATAGAATTAATAATTAATAGTTATCAATTATAAAATTGAGTAATTACTATTTATTTATTATTTATTAACAATTTTACTATTTAATATATTATAATCAATGTATTATATAATTAATATACTAATTTTTATTATTAATTATTTCATTATTAATATAATATACAATCAATTTTTCTTTAACTAATAATTAATTGCTGTTTATTATTTACGTTTATTGATAAATTACAAATTTGATAATAAGAAAGTAATATTTAATTAATAATTAAGTGACTACTATCTAGTTATTAATTATTATTTAATATGTTATATAATTAGTAATTAGTAATTGATAATTTATTTTTAATATAACACTATTGATAAGTACTAGAAAATGAAAACAGAAAAGAGAATAATTTTCAATCGTTTTATAATTCGTTAACAAAAACTACTCTCATTGTTTTTTGTTTTCATTCTCGTTTTCAAAATATTTGCTAAACAAATGAAGTTTATACATTGTTTTCATTTCGTGTCTCAAAATACGTACAGAAACATTTTCAAAAACATTCAAAAATTAATTCTAAACACACCTTAAGTGTTAGTTGCAGCACCACAGTCTCCACCTGATGTCTTTTCATTTACATCTTCAAAACATGGAAAAAAAAATGAAAGATTAAAAGAACTAAAATAGAAAAACATACATAAAAATATAAAAGTATATATTACCTCTAATTTTTTAGTAAAGAATCATGAAGTTAGGAATGTTCTAAACAAAGTGCTTAATGTATTGGTGCAAAAACTTTTTTTCTCCTAAAACACATGTTGCCCCCCTCCTTTGAAGCGTTTGTTCTAAAATAAAAGTTTAATGACAACACATCTTGTCTCACTCCTTTGTATATTGTAATTAAACATTGAATACATTCCTGAACAAGTCTTTTAGCCCCCGTTGAAATTCACTTTTAAACATATCATGAACTGTTGAAATCTTGGCATTAGAGTACCGAAACAGGTTTGGCTTCTTGGAAAACAATCTCCACATCCTCCTTGGACCACCCTATAGAATTGAGAACATTTTTTTTTTTCTCTTGGGTTTTCTCCTTGAACCATGAGAGGCCAGTGATAAACCGAATTAAAATTTTCTTCCCTTTCTTAAATTTTACTTCAAAGGTTGTATCAATGCACTTAAAAAATTCACTCGGATGAAGAGACGAGGTTCTTGGACATTTTTCAAAGGTTGTATCAGAGCAATGCATGAACAAAGATGGTCCCTTTGATTAAGTATTTCTCTCACATAATCAGTGTTTGCAAACACGTTTTTAAGTAGCTTAACAAACCTCTCGATGACTACAACAAAAAAAAAGTTTATATCAAATAAACTTTTAACAAGTTTTAATAATTTAGCTAAAACTCCCAATATGACGAAATTTTGTTGTTTGATGACACCTTTCGAGCGATGATTTTAATATCTTATTATCGCACTTTCAGCGACAAGTTTTTTTTCTTTAACAACAGTAAAAGCTTGCAAATTCGTTGTTAGCGAGTAACTGGTATAGCTTGCCTCATCTAAGTAGGTATTAACATTTGAACATTTAGTGCATAAATTCAGTATCTAAATAAGAAAAGTTTGTATAAGCTGTAATAAACAGATCAGTTATTAAATAGTTTAAAAAAATATCAAATTCTATCCATCCATCATTATTCAATTTCATGTCTAAACATGTCAAGATCATTGAGAAATATCAGGATCCAGCTATACATAGTAACATCCTGTCATAACGCTCTACGCTCTTCACAAGCAGAGGCCATTATGCATTTTCAACCACAATATACTATATGAATAGGCTGTACAATCTCAACTGACAGCAAACAACATAAAATCCGAGAAGCTATCCCCAAGACACAGAGTATCAAATACCTTACAAACAAAAGTATAAAATTTATATTGCCCCTTGTGACTTTCGTATTATTGCTGCTTATAGTATCCACTTTGGTACGGAGGGGGGTGGTATGGAGATGGAACGGTGTAAGGAGGCCGAGGCATGGAACCAGATTGTTGTGCATGAGAATTGTAGTATGGACCGCGCCATCCAGGGTACGCAGGTTGGCCATATTCGTGGCTTGCTGGAGGCTGCTGTTGGACCTGAGGAGGATATGGAGCCCCAGAGGGAGGTGCCAAGTGGTAAGGTGGCTGGGGCGGTGGCTGCTGCGGTGCACCATATGGAGGTGAGCTATAGGGAGGAGCAGGGTGAGCATACCCAGCCACTGCAGGCTGCTCGGGAGGCTGGTAGTAAGGTGGCGCTTGAGGACGAGGTTCAGTTGGCGGTTGTGAACTGGACCTCGGAGGCTGATGGCCCGCAGGAGGATAACTGTTGTTGTATGCACCTGCGGTTTTGTTGTCCTGGAAGGAGAGACCTGCCATTTGCCTCTGCACATCTTCAATCATTTCGCGGCACTGCATGTTTCTGGTCATTACAAAGTCACTGCACTGTTGCTTCACATTTGTGATTGCGTCCTGTTTCATCATTAATACATCCGTAGTTAAACTCCGAACTCATGTAATTTATTTATCAAGCATTGATAAAGCCAATAATTTCCTGATATAATGACCCTATATAAGTTGAATAAAGTGTTGTGAATGCATTGAGATTGATTATATTTTTATGAAATCAATTTAAAGCAAAAAAACAAAATTATCATATTTTTGTACCTGAAGAGTAACATAAAACTTTAACCCCTCGTTAATGTTGTCCTTAATTTCTCGGAACTTTGCTATGGCAGCTTGAATCTGCTTGTAACATTTCTCACGAGATGCTGCAACAAGTTGAGAGAGGTAAATATTTATACATGCACAAAGAGGAGAATAATATACTTCACTGTGTTGGAAAGTGAACAAAAAAGCATTATGAAAGCAAGGAATAGAGTCCTGCAATGGAACTAAGACGTGCACCTCCCCAGGAAAACGTTAAAAAATAGGGAAAGGAATAAGTTATAGAACCCAGTAAAGAAAGGTATATAGTATTCAAACGTGTAAAGAAAGGTATATAGTATTCAAACGTGACATGTAAGTTTGACTCGCAGATTAAAACCTTCATAGAATAAAGTGGCAGCAGACGCCCAATAATTCACGTACATAGAGAAATGAATAGACCAACACCAATTCATAGATCTGGGACTGCTCAGGGGGTGTTTTGAACCATTTTTCATACTTAAGGGGCCAAAATGAACCATTTTTAATATTCGGGAGCCATGTTAAAACAAGGTACAACGTTTAGGCGGCATTTATGAAATCAATCCTAGATTTAAAAGGAGGACAAAAAATCTTGATTGTACGTTTTTATGTTAATTCACTCTTCAGTTGATGGTAATGCTACTAGAATGTTTATACACATATCACCGCATGCTAAAACCAATCAATACGTAACAATTATATAAGAAAGAGAATTATGGATTAGCAAATCATAAACTGAAAAAGGGCACTACCTTTGTAATCTTCGAGATTAAAGATGGCAGAGAAGTCCTCGTTTTGTGCCTGAGCAATGACAAACAATGATTAAGAAACACTATAATACTCTATTGCAATCACCTGTTTTTAATTATATAGTAATGTGTTAACTATTAACTAAATACAAATTCTATAGTGAAACCTGCCACGAGGAAGTTAACATTTATAATTTAAGTTCAGAGACGAAAAAGCATTAGCTCTCCACTTTATTAAATAATAATAATAATAATAAAGACGTTTTTACAAGGAAAATGATATTCCAAATTCAAAATGCATGTACTGCCGTTTTTTTCGAAGAACTCCATGAATATGAGATATTTCAAGCGTAATTGACTAATTCTATCAACGAATTGATTTCTCTAAGAAGGAAAATACTATGAAAATGCCTCTTGACACATTCAATTTACAATTTTTCTTCATTTTTGTGCTATTTTCATTTGTCATATTTACTACATTTCTCTATTACAATGAGAGAAAAAATTAAGGAAGAAAAAAATCCTTCTTTTTACTTTATTTCTTCTTTACTGAAACCAACAATCTTACTTTCTAAAAACACAATCAAACACATTAAAATATTGCAAAAACTGGTTCTAGGTAGTTCTTATAACGTAAGTCATAATCGATCATTATCATTACAAGACAAGCACGGCAGGAAAAAGAGAGTGAGAGAAGAAAACAATTGGTGGGGAATAAGAAAAATGACAGTTTAATTCAGAATTGCTCTCGGCCAATATAGAATTATCAATTTAGTTTAACAGGTATTACTCACAGTACAACATTACTAATAATATAATATCACAAAAACAATGAAATAGACATTGCAAAAAAACGAACCGCAAATATGGTTTATTATAAAACAGACCTGGATTTGCAGCAATAATTGCTCTTGTGCTTCGATATTTTGAGCAATTTCTTCACATATATGATCATACTTTGATATCTCCTTTCTGAAAAGATCTTCATAGGAGCCAGTTGATGTCATCAACTTTGGTAATATATCATCCTAAAGCCATATGAAAAAATGTGAGCCCCAAAAAAAAATTCTTGATGTGGCAAAGAAGCATCAACAATTAACAGAATAGCAAAATCGAAAGGGACAAGTATCGATCACAATAAGTAATCCAACAGCTGAAATTAGCAGCCCATAATAAAGTAAGCAGTCCATAAAGTAGCAGCCCATAATAAAGTAAGCAAACAATCAATTAAGATTCAAGAATTGAACTTCAACATACAGTGACGCAAGACCAAATTTCAAATACAACCCCGTACAGGATAAGAGGAATACGATCAGATAATTGGACCTACCTTTCTTTTCATCTCTTTAAGCATGTCTTCAAGACCAGCACGTTCAGAAGCAAGTGTTTCCAACTGCCTCTGCATTATTGAACACGGACAGAATATAAATTCACAAAAGATCCAGCAAAAGAAGGTACTATTTTAAGTATTACAACTGCCGAAACAGGCCCAGATTTTGTTTCCAGTCACCATATATTATTTTCAAGAAGCAGAGACCTTAGTCCCTTTGGTTCCACAATTCTTTTTGAATTATTTAGTGATATACTTCAAAAAAATTAAAATCCAAAATATATCATCACGTAGTACTTGAAGCATTTTTCTTCCCTTCTGTTATTAGGTAACTGATAGATCCTTGACAGATACACTAACAGAAAGTAGAACAGAATTTGATAGACAAGAAGAAGAAAGAATCTGTATAGACAATTGCTGAAAGTTACAACGAATTGCGGAACTTCGAGGGTCCGTGGCCTCCCCTACTTGGAAATGTTTCCAAGATTTTCCCTTGTACAATTACTGAAACCTTTCCTACCTCTAACCGTGTCCTCCTCCTTTTATTCTCATCCCTAAACTTTCTTAACAGGCTAACTAACAATCTTTCATAACAAGCTTCATAACAAACTAACCAATTTTATTCAACAAGCTAACTAACAATCTTGCTTAACAAACTTCTAACTCCTCTTAAGTCTTCTTACTCTTCCTAATGTAAACTTGCCTGAGTAAAGGCTTATCAATTACACCCCCCTCAAAAGAGTCACCTTGTCCTCAAGGTGTAAGTCAAGAAATCGCAGCCGAGTGAAGGGTAATAAACCCGCCAACTCCAATTACAGCATTGGCAACTTTTCCCATTCCAACCCTAATTACACAAATTTCTCCATTCCCAGCCACAGTTGCACATACATTTATGGACGTAGCTCTAATTTTTCTGAAATTGGCATCTGAAATCTTTGTATGTGCACAAGAAGCATAGGAATGTGGTGACCTTTTCAAATTCTCGTTGGGGTTGGCCTTAGTCTCTCCGAACTTAGAGAAATTTCGAGGCTCATGGTTGAAAACACTACCACCCAGGTCGAAAATTGTACCAGAAAACCCAGACCCATCACTGATTAGGCCAAAATTTGAAGATTCAGTACATATCTTGCTGAAATTGGCCCCAATTTCACTGATATTTGGAGGCCCAGCCCTTATTGAGCCATAATTAGGCCCAATAATGTTGTACTTACGCAGCCCAGACCCAAAACATGCAAAAATTGACCCTGCCCACACCATAACCACGAGAACCAACCTCAATCGCCACATCCTGTGGCCGTCGCTCCATCACCAATCTCAGCCCAGTCCCCATCACCATCTCCCGAGGTAGCCAGCCCCCTTCCGACCGCCTTCTGCCTCCGTTCGGCCTCTCCCACCATGGGTCTTCGCCGTTTCGGTCAAACTCCCCAAAACCCAGAATCCCAACTCCCTCTTGAAGCAGATCAGAGGCCTCCGCCCCTAAAACACCTCTTTTCTATCCCTGTTGCGTTTGTCTGATTCCGACCAAGATCAGCCTCACCCAGACCAATTCATCGCCGATCTGCACCTCACGGTGCGGATCCCAGCCATTCTGACCCCCAACTCGTGAATCCAAACGCCCCCTCGTTGCCGTTTGCCACCTCTGACACCTTCCCCAAGCCGAATCCGGCGCCAATCGGCCCTTCTCGTCGTGGAACTAGGCCTTCCAAGCCCCAACTGGCGCAAATCTGCTTATTCCATCGCAGATCAGACAGATTGATGTCGAGATCGTCCCCTCCATTGCGTGGTTCCTCCTCGCGAAGAATCACCTTCCTCGACGGTCGTCCGATCTGCCCTCCCTTGCGCGGTTCCTCACGATTCCGGTCAGCATCTCCAAGTCCGAAAACCTTAGGTTCAGCCACAACTCCTTCCTGCTCAATTCCTTCTGCCCCAGCCTTTGACCTGCGACCCACTTCATGACCCGAACTAGTTCCCCCTTCCCGAACCCCAACGGCGCCTGAACTGGAATCCTCCGCCGGCATCTTAGCTTTCGTCGACGCCCTTAAACGCTTCATTTGCTCCTCTATCAGACGACGCAAATCGGCAAGATTCTGATTCATCTCAGCCCTAAATTCACCTATTCTTTTCTCCACTGAAACTTGTTGAATCTCCTTCTCCACCACCTCACATCTCTCATCCATTTTCCTGGCCGCCATAATCACCCAGAAACGATGCTCTGATACCAAAATGATAGATCCTTGACAAATACACTAACAGAAAGTAGAACATAATTTGATAGACAAGAAGAAGAAAGAATATGTATAGACAATTGCTAAAAGTTACAACAAATTGCAGAACTTCGAGAGTCCGTGGCCTCCCCTACTTGGAAATGTTTCCAAGATTTTCCCTTGTACAATTACTGAAACCTTTCCTAACTCTAACCATGTCCTCCTCCTCCTTTTATTCTCATCCCTAAACTTTCTTAACAAGCTAACTCGGCTAACTAACAATCTTTCATAACAAGCTTCATAACAAACTAACCAATCTTATTCAACAAGCTAACTAACAATCTTGCTTAACAAACTTCAAACTCCTCGTAAGTCTTCTTACTCTTCCTAATGTAAACTTGCCTGAGTAAAGGCTTATCAGTAACGTATGAAAGGCATGTCATCCAAGTGTAAGATAGGGCTACAATCCGTCACCTCAGAGACTCAAGTTAGCAGAATTTCAACTTTTCTGGATTTTTTCTCTTTTCATACCACCAACTTTCTTCGCATACAGCTCCAAGCATATTAAAACAGAAAAGGGAGAACAAAAGGTTTTCCAAAAACTTCAATTGCAGAAGAAGATAAAGCAAAGAATTTCATTGTAACGTTCATGTTAAGTCCATATACTTGCACATCCATCAATTTATTATGAGCATCATGGTTTGGTTGCATATGCATGCCGGCGTGCTTTGCATTCCTAATATTTGTACAATGACTACAAATCTCCAAAAGGCTATTATGTACTTTCAAGAATTATAACATTTCAGTTACTGACATTAAAGTAACAAAAAGAAAAAAAAAATAGTACATACAAGCATAAACTTGAAAATAGAAGGAATCCTTCACCTTAAACAAATTTTACAAATTGGTCAATGCAAATTCCTACACTTCACTACCTAACTTTTCAGATGGACATTTTCATGTGTTAGTATTAGCTCTACAACGTTTTAAAGATAAACACAGCACGTCCACATCTAAACATATTTGATATATAGCTCCCTAGCAAAGAGCGGACAATGAATGAAGTTCCAATTTCAATATAGCATCAATGTCAAATGTAATAAGACATCAACTACAGTGTGGGACAAAGTACAAACCACAGGCCACACTCATATTCTTTAAACCTAAATATATTCTATCTCATCTCTGATCAAATGACAGGAGAAGAAAATAAACAATGCAATTCCTTATTAGTACAATACTAGTAGATGACATAACAAATAACAAGAACAAATATCCTAAAAGGAACCTTACGGTAACATTAAAAAAAATGGCATCAGAAGAAAAAATAGAGCATAGTGTAAAGATTTAAAAAAGAAAAAAAAATTAGCCTGAACCATGAACAATTAAGAAAGAACATCACAGCCCAGATATTAAGGATAATAGACGTATCATTGATCCCATGAAATAAGGATTCATTAAATGAACAAGTTGTTTGGCTTGAAAAGATTACCAAGCTCTGCTTCAGCGCCCCCACAATAGCATCTTCATTAGCATCCAAAGACATTATTGGCCTTGCTAAAGTTGGGAGTGCAGATTCAATCTGAAACAACCCCAAAAAAAAATGCATTCAGTTATTCGCATATGCATGGAATTATGGAGAGGCGACTCGATTACTTTAATAACTAAACTAAAAAAAAGGTCAATTACTATTGCCCAGAACTAAAGCAGAGATACAGAAAAGTAGACAAATCAATAGACGGAAAGAATGTCGATAGTTTGAGATTCTTTAAGATTCTTTAGTAGGCTAAAAAAATAATAATTAAAAAAAAAGGGTACTCCAAAATAGAATCCTTTAAAAAATAAAATAGAAAAGAAAAATAGAATGACATGAAGAACCGTCTTCCATTGTTATACAATTAAAATCATATTCCATTGACGTTAAATCATCAAACCATAAAAAGCTATACAGATATGCCCACATCTCACTGTCGTAACTGGCCGCCCCCTATAAGGCCTAATAAGAAATTCAAAACCATACCGGGCGGCGATCAAGGATTGACATGAGAGCTGAATGCTCCCTCACTGAACGCTCAATACGGGCATCACTGTCTGTTGCTTGTTTCAAATTAGCTGCAAAACGGTTCAACCTATCCTGCAGATTCTTTGTAAGAGTGCTGGACTGAGGCCTCGTCCACCGTGTTCCAAATTGGCTTCTAAACTGACCATCTTCTCTTGCCTCTTTCTGCAAGAGTTCCTCAACCTGAAGCAGCATTTCCTGGTTCACCCTCCTCAGATCTTTAAGCTGTTGTAACTCAGCTTCCAAACCAGCTGGACCCCCACAAACCTGCACTGCCTCCACATCTTCTTTCAAATCTGTCGGGAGAGAGAAATTTCCTTCCAAGGCCAGAACAGATTCTGGTAGGTCCATTTCCTTAAGCCTGACCCGGGTTAGCTCACTAGCTTGTTGCAATTTTTCTGCTTGTGTTCTGATAATATCGTCGACCATTTCAGTGTACCTGGAAAGTGCCTTTGCACTACTGTCTGGAACCAGACTCGCAAACATCTTTTCCTTGCTTGCGTCCAACACCTCATTCATTGCCATTGGCTTCACCATGGAAAATGACTGGAGAGGTGGTAAAGAAGTAGGGGAAGGAACCCTCATGAGATAAACTCTATCATTCTCCTTCACAGCCCTCTCCAGGTTGCGATTAATAGTAGCCTCCAACTTGGTAATTGCTTCCAAAAGCTGTGCAGGAGCCCCTTTCGAAGATTTCTTAGCCTCAGATAGTGCCGTGATCCCGCTCTTCAACCGTGCAATTTCCTCCGCAATCTCTTCTTTCTCATGCAACTCCAAACTATACCTATAGCAAGCTTCCGCAAAAAATAGAGCTGCCTTTAGCTGAACATGAGATACCCAACCCTTATCAAAATGTTGGTTTAAAGGTGCGGCATTCAGGGCCGCTAAAGCCTCCTCATAATATAATCCAACCTGTAATATCAACCACGTCAAAATAGTTTGTGCACATTATTGATATGCTTCCTAATGTAATCCCATCGAATAGAAACTGGAAATACATCTGTCCAATAGCAATTAATTGAAAACCCATAAAATCCGAGAGACACTATTATCCACATGATAAGATCAGCATCATATTATTGATTTAAATCAGCCAAAACCAACCAAATGTCTTGCAAGACCCAAAAGAAATTTATTTTCTTTTCCCATCATTAAATTATAAAACTAACTTTTCCTAATTCAACTATCCAATAATCCAAATTATCCAGATTCAAAGTCTGACATTGAATTCATGAATCATACAAGATAACAGTTTAATTAAAGCACTTCATCATTAACACATCTGCATTGATCAAAAGATAAGTCCAATCAATAGTAAATTCCAATCAAACACTGTAAAACCCTCACCTGCCTAGAGATCTTAGCGCAGACACCGGGAGTGCTCCCTTTGGCTATCGAATTCTCAAACACGCACTCCTGCGCCTGCGCCAGCATAAGCCTTTCGAGCATCCCGGCGCACTCCACCGACAAATCCACCGTCGTGGAGCTCCCGATCGACGCCTTCGTGGCGGCGTTGTCCCTCAGGAAGGCGAACGCCCCCGCCGCAGCGATGAACGCGTGCGACGCCTGCCTCCGGCCCTCAACAGTCGACCGATCGTACGACAGACCAATCTGGCTGTAGACGGCGCCCAAATTGAACAGCACGGCGGCTTTTTCGAGATGAATGTTCTGCTGCAATGCCTTCTGCTTGTTCTTGAAGGCGTCGTGCCATACGAAAGTAATGGAATTGATGTGATCCTTATCGGGGGAGATCGGGAAGCGAGTCTCGACGAGGCAGAGGGTTTTGAAGTAGCTCTGGAGGAGGTCGCGGCGGGCGGGGAGGGAAGGGTCGGAGTGGCGCTCGACGTCGGAGCGGAGCTGCTTTAGGGTTTGGAGATCATCGTCGAGGTTCTGGGCCTCGCGCTCGGAGTAATTGAAGGCGATGAAGTTGCGGAGAGGGCGGTAGAGGTCGATTTGCGTGGTCTTCTTCTCGTAGAGGGCCAGCATCACGTTGGACGACGCCGACGACGACGACGGAGCCGCCATTATTGGGGGTTTTCGAGCTTTTTTGAGTAAAAATGAAATTAAAATGAAAATCAAGAAGAGAAGAGAAACTTAAAAGTGAGATTTATTATTGGAGTGAGGATTGACTGGGTTGTTGATGTACTTGTTTGTGGCTGAATAACAGGGCCTTTGTTAATTTCTTCTTGACAAAGGAAAACTGAAATGTGCAATTTCCTTTTTTTTCCTCTTTTCTTTTTTTTTTTCTTTTCTCGTTTGTTATTGATTTTGAATGGGGCCCAAAGTCAGAGTTTGGGTTTGAGGTTTTAATTAGAATTGAGATGTAATTTTATACTATAGTTTTTAACTGTAATAATAAAATTTAATGTTATTTTTTATGAGAGCTTTTAACTATAGTAAAATTTGAATTGAAAACTCGAATCAATGAAATGAACGAGGCACGTCTATTTAGTTCAACAATGAACTAAAACCTCGTTTATATCATTAATTTGAGTTTTTAATTCTAATTTTACTACAGTTAAAAATTTTCAGAAACAATCATATCTAATTTTTTTATTACAGTTAAAAATTTTCACATAAAATCACATTTTAACTCAAATTAAAAACTCGAATCGACGAACTGAAATAGTCAGCCCATCCTATCATCTAATTGATACATCTAATATAATCCTCTAAAAAAATTGGATTAGATTGGACGTTGGATTCAAATTTTAAAAATCCAATATATCTAATATAATCAAATATATTTATTTTATATAATAATTATGTATATGAATGATATGCAATTAATGGGTAGAAGCGTGTTTGTGTTGCCGGTCATTATATTTTGCAACTGATGTCCACTTGTTTTTCAATATTTATATTTTTTTCTAGTTTTTTGTTTTTTAATTTGAACAAGAATTTTTTTTGCATGAACTTAAATTTACTATATTATTTGTCATGTTTGATGATTTTGATTTTTATATTTGACATCCATGATGGGAATATTAAATTGTTTTGAAAATATATGGATTTATCACTTTGAGCAAGTTGTATAAAATTTAGTAGCTTTTAATAAATTTTGACAACAGCTTGTATGATCCGTTTAGTTTATAGATTTAACATAAAATTTAAAGTTTATCAAAGAAAATATAGTAATAAAAAATTATAAACAGTAAACATGGTAAGTTAATCCGATCATCCAATCTAAACTATTGGATTGGACAATAATATAGTATATTGGATTGGATGGATTTAAAAAAAAAAATTTATTAGATTAGATTGAATTATGGATAATAAAAAAAATATATGGAAAATTGGATTGGATGGCCGGTAGTTCACCCAGCCCATAATATTTGTCTGCAACTTTTCTAATTTAGCAAAATGGTCGTTACGTTCCACCTTTTAATGATATTCTTACTTTTCTAAATTTTTCCTTTCCATTTTCCTCTTTAATCACGTTAGGCTTATTGCGTACTAAAGCCTGTTTTTCACAGTTGATTAGTATTTGGAATACTAAAATGATGAATAAGTTCTGCTAGGTGGTTCTCGTGGCAGCCGTAAGGTTTGGAAAAAGTAATTAACTGTGCTAGGGTTTATAGTTTGTCTGGTAATTAAAATGAAGACATTGAATGCTATTTCTTTCTTTTTAAATAGACTAGTTTTGTAACGTGCTCCACATGTATTATCGTGTTGGAGATACATAAAAAATTTATTATTTATCAAATAATAAGAAATTCATTTATACAATCATTTAAGGATTTTTAAATTTATAGATAACATTGATAAAAAAAATAAATAGAGACACATTTAAAAAAAAAATTATTTTAACCAACTAAAAATGAAATTGGAACATATGTGAAAAAATTACTCTCACTACAACAAAAAGGGTTATTAGCGACGACATTTATCGTTGTTAAAATTACAGTATTAGCGACGACAGGTCGTCGCCAAAAAGAAATCAAAGTTTTTGAACGACTTGTCGTCGCATTAACTATTAGCGACGACATGTCGTTGCACAAAATTTTAATATTTGCGACGACATGTCGTCGCTAACATGTGACAAATTATTCGTGACGACATGTCGTCACTAATAGTGAATGTCGCCAAACCAATCTGGCGCCAACAATTTTGGCGCCAGTTTGTCCATTCTTTGCGACAACATGCCGTCGCAAATATGAATACGTACAGTTGGCGGTGACGTGGTCAAAAAGATGCAGAAAATTTGGCGGTTTCCCGCACAAAGGTTTCAGATAGTTCTTTTACCTTTTTTCCCGCTGTTTTGGTCTGCTTTGCTTTTTTCATTTGTTTTTTGGTTTGTCACTGCTCTGTATATCTAATAAGATCTCTCTTTTTTCCCTCACCCTTATAATTCAACTGGTAGTCGTTGGACAAATTTATATTTTACTCTGGTTGCCCATACTCTGCCGCATACAAATTATATTTGTATGATGGATACAATATCTTATTACTTTTTTGCCACAAAAGGGTTATAAATATATAAGTTTATTTACTCATCACACAATGATGAGAATGTATAATATCTTAGCCATATTTTTTACATAAAAATATTATCACATTCATATTTTGTTACTATTTTTTATTGCCATTTTCATCTGCTCATTCATCTATTCATTCACTTATTTATCTATATTGTTTCAGATTTTATATCATTTAGTACTTTAACTTTCCTACTGCTGTATCCTTCACTGTTGTTCACAGTTGCTTCATCAGTGGGCAGCACTTGCAGCGTTTGAAGTATATTCTTAACAGTTTTTATCCATAGGTTTTTAATAAGTGTTATTGGCACTTGATGTATGAGTTTGTTGTGGAAATGTTCATGTCCATTCTTTATGCTTCGCTATGTTTATTTGCATTTGTCTTCGTCATTTTATTAATACATAATTCTGATGTAAAACGCTAAGAAAAGTTTCCTATTATTCTTAAGAAATATTAGTAATCTATACGTTTTAATCTTCCATTTTATAACTAAATCGTTTTTATATATGAACACCCTCTTTATTTTTTTTCCTGCAGCTATATATACATATATATCTTCACTTAGCAGATTTCAGTTTTAATTGGCATTTTTGTGTGACGACCCTCCTATGAGGCCGCCACTGTAACTTAAACTTTTTAACTTGTACTTACTGGGGTTTCTTAAAATATGCGGAACATTTTTTTTTTTTTT